TTGTGGTTGTGAGACCCTGAATTTGAGAGTAGAATATATCCGTCGACTAGATGTTTTCGATTATCGGTGTTTACTTAATTTAGCCCATGTTGGATGGAGCGAGCGAGTTAGTAACGTGGATTTAAGCCGTCGTGTTTGTGAGTCTGCCAGGTATAAACCTGCTAGCATACCGAATACAGATTACTAGGCTTCGCTGGCTACGCACGTATTGCTTATCCCCAGCTGTCATCTGCTGCACCGCGCCTTATTTGCTGTAGCTAATCCGGGCTGGGTGAAACCACGTGGAGGTAAACTGGTGAAGTAGAGACGAGGCATGATAAAATGCACAGAGCCATTAGGTAGAGTAGGTGTCTCTCGCCTTCCAGGTTGGGGTCCGAAAGACTCCACAACTCGTTGGTCGGGGACAGTGAAGGATATGGCAGCGAACCGACACCAGTGGCGTTTTTGTTGTCATTTCTTATCAGGCCAGAATGCTTGAAACGGTATGTATGCGTACTCTGTGTGTTGACCAAAGTGGCTCATCTCTTCACCTGCCTCAAAAAAGATCCAATCCGTGTCCACCCTAAATTTTACCACTAACCTTGTGTGCATTGCGAGTTTCATACGGTGGCACAGTATATGCGACTTTTCAATTTCAATGAAACATCACGCCGCCGACATAGGTGTTTGAGTCGGGCACACGCTGCTTTTCTCCAAAAGGAGAAGGTTGAGGGGGACCTTCCAGCTCCTGAAAGGAATCAGCACGGGAGCCCCCTACTCAGCATGGATAACGGTTTGAAATTGAGCCAACCCAGAGCTCTTAAGAGCATAAGGGCGAACTTCTCCCATAGAGTGGTAAACGCATGGAATAGACTACCAGCGAAGGTAGTCTCAGCCCAGACTGTAGTGCAGTTCAAGGCCAGACTGGACAAGAGCTGCATTGACATGTTCCTCGACCTTATCCGATTCTGAGGCCTTACTTCCTTGCTTCATCCTTTCTAGGGGCTTCCCCACTTTCCTTTATTATTATTTTTGATATTAATATTAGTATGGTACCACTACTTCGCCCTTATCCTTCCGTTTCCCATCGTCTTTTTTTACTCTATTGTCTGTCGATATAAGGTGCTTTCCTACCAGTGCGTAACAGTGTTAGATGTAGGCAAATTATCCGTTTCTAGTCGTAAATCGGCTGCTTATTCCAGAAGTGATCCCAATATTGTGCCCTGCAATCCGTGGTCCAGCAAGCCACTCTTGCAGAACTAAATACTGCAATACCGGACGGTTGAAGCACGGGGGGACATTCACGCCCACTCGAGCAAGAAACTGGACTCTCGTTGGCTCAAGCCGCAAGTCCTAGAACCTGATCCGATCTGATCTAACCCGCTCAATCCATCCCACTTAGGCCAGACTACGTAAGAATCGATTATCGAAAATCACTAGGCGATGGATGTCCTCTACCGGCAAATGCAAGTTCTCACAACCGTAAAGCGGAACTGATCATACAGTGGCACAGTATATGCGACTTTTCAACTTCAGTGAGACGTCAGTTCGCCGCCACAAGTGTTTAAGTCCTGCGTACGCTGCTCAAGCCTTGGAAATGTAAACGGTTATCTCCTTGGATGCGCTACTGTCGTTGGTCACAAAACTACCTAAGTATGAGAAGCAGTCAACTTCAGCTAATTCCTGACCGTCTACACCTTTTCAACTTCAAGAGAAACCGTTGTAACTTCAAGTGAATCCAACCAATCGCACCCTATTGGAAACCCCAACAAGATGATTGGTCGTTTGGCCGTCAACTGTCACCGATTGGACCGGGTCTGTGTAAACCCTCTCCAGTTCGAATGAACCAATTTCTCGGTAAACAAACGAAAGTACTTTTTGAGTGAATTACCGAGCGAGGATGAATGTTTCGGTGGTGTAAGGTGCGCCGTTTTGCCCCACGAGCCCCCCCCCCCCACNTCCACCGGGAAGCGTCATGTTCGTGATCGTTGATCGAGTGTGCGTCATGGACACGAATGAATGAACCCGGAGCTAACTGACCTCTGCCGGTCGGGTAAGGAAGCGAATTATGTCAAGATGGATCGATAAGTCGGTCACCATGCCCAGACGTGAATGTGAGCATGAGTGGAGTCAGTCTAAGCCCTCAATAACCCAATGAGTAAATTCTATTGAGGCTAAAGTTTTCTCGAATAAAACCGATTCCTTTGAATCAAATGCGATTGCTTACGTATGTCTGACATTAAAATGCACACTTGACAAGATACTTAACAATGGTAATAATGGTGAAAGAAGTAACAGTATTTCATCTGAATAGCAAGATTAAATGCGAACATATTCACTAGCCAACAGAAATCATATTTCTCTGTCATTCCGTGACTGATTAACACATTCAATCCACAATGATAATGGCAACAATCTGTTACCTGAGGCTTCTCCCTTCGCTAATTAGCTTCATCGCAGAGGTTCTTATCTTTATTGTATCATGGTTCAAACCGTCGCATCTTTTCACATACTGGTTACATCTGTGCGATCATTTATAATTTAGTGAATGAGACAGATGGTGATATGAATGAGTTACAGTTATCGATGATCCTACAAGCGATGATAACTATGCACAGGGTCGGTAAAATAATCTACCCACGGTTGTCGTCTTACGAGGTCATGATGTTTGGAAAGGCGTGTATGCATAGTTAAGTTGTGCACGGTTCGATCACAGCGGTTTACTTTTTTGCCTCTCTCCAATTAGGCCCAAGCGCCATACATCTTGTACTTTCTCACACACCTTGAGTAAATTGTGAGCTTGGAAGCGATAAGCGAATTTCACTTCTGTGTATCTCGTTGTGCGATGATGATGACAACGTCAGGGTATCGTCTAGTATGGAGGGGAATGATCTGCAGGTAGATCTCGTCTTTTCTTCTATCAGGACTGCAGTGTGTGGGCGCATAAACTGTAATGACCAACAGACTACGTTATGAGATGTTTCTAAAGGATGGCGCAGTGTTGATTATTGATGGGGGTTCAGTCCACTGACATCGCTTTCTTACATGCGTCTCTTGGTTAGAGTTTTCATACCTTTATGCCAGGTCTTAGGTCGACCTGCTTCGGCTGTTTTTCTGTCCACACATCGACTCCATAGATAACGTTATTTGGAGCATGTGTTACGCATCTCACCAAATAGGTTGCCAGGCCACGCAATGTTTACCGAGACCGGTAGGGATGGAAAAAACTCAATGGTGGTCAATCTAAGACCTGTCACGAGGGTATTAAATCTAGGAGACTAGGTCATATCGATCCCGTTACGCTCCCGGGTTGCGGACTTCAGGATAATCGTAACCGATGGTTAGAGACACTGAGTGATATGGCTGTGTCGTAAACAGTGGCTTTCTCGCATCTCCTCAATTTCTTTGCAACATTAGTCCACTGAAATTCCCCATTCTCTACTTCTACTTTCAACTTTCCTGTCTTCCTCCTACTGTTCATCCAAATGGGCAGCCAAAAATGGCGCACGAAATGAAAAACTGAGTTGTCCATACCTGTCTTGGCAAACAGTAGCATCGTGGTAATCTATTTGGTGATATGCGCAACATAATTGACGTAGTTAATGGGGGTCGATCAATTGCCCCAGTGGGCAAACTCTGCGTCTAACCACAGCATTACTTGCCTGGTTGTCCCCGCCAGACTCGTTCAATGCGGCGTGGATAGCGGTGTGTACGAATCCCGACAACCGGTCTCTATCCTATTCCTATGACAGCCAAGTCTGGACCGCATAGTAGCACTGACAGAACTAGTGCAGCATAAATTCGAAACCTCTCAGATAGCCGAATGTTCCGACGGCCCTACAGATACTCTGAATTGAGCAAATGCCATTCGAACCTTCTGTATGCGTGCCGATACATCCGTTTTGTGCTCGATGTGTGGGTTGTGGCTGCGTAAATAACAAAATATGTTTAGTTCCCCCATTACTTCCCAGTTAGAGTGAGGTTGAATCAACCCTGTCCTGCAGTAGCTTTTCACCGGTTGAAGGGATAAAGCACATGCCGAACATGACTACACAGCACACGAACTATCCAGAAAAGCTTGCAACTTACCATAATCTTCGCTGAAAAATACGTTTTTGTAAACTTCAGGTCCGACAATCTGCAAACTGAGGGCACATCGAATTCACTGTCCTCGTATGACGACAATGCTGCTTCCAGAATCAGACCTAATACAGATTTGAAAGGAAGAGTAGAGAGGACGACCCTGAGGAACACCGTTATCCGTAATGAACTTAGACGAAAAAGTGACGTAAGCTCGAACTCAGCTTTGCCTATTAATGCAAAAGGATCCTAATATCGAAACCAACTTCTTGAGCACACCCTCCGGGGCAAAGCAGCGTCATGGTGTAGAGCAGTCGATAGATTCAAGACGCTTTCAGATCGAGGAAGACAGGAATGGTAGATCTACGAACGGACTTGGCGAATATTGAAAGTGTGATCGATACAACCTCGACTAGGTCTAAACCCAGCCTGGTTCTCAGCCGTGCACCGTTCACATGCGGCAGGCAATCAACGGAGTTTCATGACAGCAGTGTTTGCAGACCATGTTAATTCACCTGTGATTTTCGCAAGAGGATCTGTCGCCTTTCTTGTAAGTCGGTAAGGTGACTGAGTAGCACCACTCATATTCGCGAGGCTTAGTTACCTTCCGCGTATTACAAAGGATGCCGTGATATTGGCCCTCAACTCATAACCGTAACCGAGGGCATACACGCTCTTTCGTGATACGTGGACATTGTCATCGATCTTCAGTATGGTAATCAATTTCGAAAACAACAGAATTATTCATATAAATAAAAAAGGAAACGGTGCTTAAACGGAGGTCTGCAAAGTATTGATTGCTGTCAGAGAGACAGTTGATTATTTTTAATCTACATGATCCCTTAAACTGTTAGTCAATGACTTTTTGACGTGTTCGAGCATATCTGATCTATGTCAAAAATAAAGAAATCCGCTTTAGTACAGACAAGATGGGCTGCGTACTACTTACCGATCTTTACATCTCGATAGAATTTTTCGACCGGATAGGCTTCCGTAAATCCTACTCCACCCAACCACTCCACCGCACGAGATGCTACCCGACAAGCCATATTGGATGTGAAATGTTTTAGCATTGCTGCCTCTTTCTGGATCGAACATCCAGCTACTTTTCTTCGAGCGGTAGTGTAAAGAAACGCACGAGCGGCTGCCAATTGTATTGCTTCCTCCGCAAACTGATGTTGAATGGCCTGAAAGAAATGCAACACAAAATTGGTTCGCAAGTTAATCTGATTTGTCATACAGGTTTTCACTTCATTGATTTTGGGTGTCCCCACTTTCAAGCGAAAACACACAGTTCAAGATGTTCCGTGAGGAAAAATTCAGTGACAATTAGTGGTTTCCTCCGGAATGTGCCCCTGAAAGGCGGTCACCTGCAACCAAACACATCAACCCCCTCCCGACTGATTTTATCACCAGGACACGCTCATTGAGCCGTACAAATTCCCCCATAGAAAACATCGCTGAATGATGGATGAAAAGCAGTCTGCAAACCCTCCTTTTGTGATAGAGATCAAGTGTCACATTTGGATAGGTTCATCTGCGCACTGTGTAGGCCATCCAGGTGTTTCGTGGAAAGTCAATGGAATCATTCGATAAAGTGCTAGATGTTCAGAAATTCCGCTCATGTGGTGTACACTCAGTTGTTCGAGACTGTCATTGATACACCTCTGATGATTGCTATACAATTACACTACCAGCATTAGTAAGGCTGAGAGGTTCACTTAGTATATGCACCAAAACATTCACAACACAATTCAACTGGCCACAGATCCTGTTGAAATGGTCAATGAGAAAGACATTACATGCCCTAGGTTAGAGCTATTAATTTGAACAAAAATGGAGTCTTCGTGAAGATAACTGTATCTCACTGATGAATAGAGAACGTAAACAACCGTGAGTGTAAAAAATTACACCATGAAAGTTAACTTAAATTCGGATCGAATCACGACCAACAATATCGCACTGTCTAGAACTGTTCCCACAATTCATAATTTTCCGGAAGAGTGCTCAGTTGATTTCCATTCGCATTTGTGAACTCACGCATCACAGTTCATCTCCGTGCACATACGGCACCAAGGAAACAGTGGATACCCGTATCACTTCGGCTCGGGAAGAAATGCAAAAAAGAGCAGCAGATCATTGATCAGGCTATTGACGAGCAGAACCCCCGAAAGTAACTGGTACGAATATCCAAATCATCAGAGAAACCAAGATCTGTGGGTTTCAGGTGGATGAAATGATACAAGCATATGGAAGTGTCTCATAGGTAGTGGTCCGACTTCTCAGTTTTTCAGTTTAAACAACCA